ATGCCTTTAGTGTGAATTCACAGATGACCACTCAAAGAACCAGAGTTGCAGGTAGGTAACCTTTCTCTCTCTGTAAAAACATGACCAGAAGTGGATTGTGGCACTGATCATGAACTATTAATATCCAACATTTGAGTAAAGCCAAAGATGAACACTAAAATAATTACAGTACCGAAATATAATGTAAACAACATGCCTGGGGAATTTAAACTCCACATAGGAAACAAGTTTGCATTACTAAGCTCAGTTGGCCATGAACTGGAAGAACTATGGATTGAAACCAGGGATACTATTAGGAAAGAATGCAAAAAGACACTTCCCATAGTAAAAAGGAAGAGAAAAACCTGGATTGATGATGGAAGAAATGCTAATAATTTTAGAGGACAGGCAAAGAAGCAAAAGTAAAAAGTGACAGAAATAGGGTCAGACCCTCAATGAAAATTTTCAGTGACTGTCACATAGAAACAAAGAGAACTACTATAACAACCAGTGCAAAGAAATAGAGGATAACACAAAAGAGGTCTCTTCCAATAAATCAAAGGCAAATTGAAGCCCAGATTAGGAATGCTGGAGGATCAAGAGGGAAACACACTGTCTGGCTAAGAGGAAAAAAAGAGAAGGTGGAAACAGTGTACTGAAGGTCTATACAGAAGAAATAAAGGAGCACAGACAGACTCATTTGAAGAGCAATCCTATGATGAAGAACCTGTAGTTCTAGAAAGTGAAGTGAAATCTTGCACTGTTGGAATACTGATAGAACTATTTCAAGTCACAGACACCGAATCTGTAAAAAAATCCTAACAAGAATGTACCAACAGATGTGGAAAACAATACAGTGGCCAAAAGACTGGTAATGTTCAATATATATTCCAGTTCCCGCAAGAAAGGAGATGCGAAGGAGCACAGTAGCTATGGGATCATCACTTTAATTTCCCATGCAAACAAAGTGATGCTCAAGGTGTTACAACAAAGGTTTTTACCTTACATGGATCAAGAAATGCCTGATGTTCAAGCTGCATTCTGAAAATGAAAAGGCACTCATGGTCATAACGCAAATAACTCCTGACTACTGGAGCACACCAAAGAATTTCAACAGTTCAATCTATGCTTTATAAACTGCAGGAAAGCTTTTGCCTGTTTAAACTATGGGTTGTTCTGAAAGAAATGGGTGTGCCTTAACACTTGATTGTCCTGATATGTAACCTGTATTGTGAACAAGAAGCTACTGAACATGGCAATACGAAAAAAGAAAAAAAAGAAATGGGTGTGCCTTAACACTTGATTGTCCTGATATGTAACCTGTATTGTGAACAAGAAGCTACTGAACATGGCAATACAGAATGGTTATCTGTTCAGTCTGGACACAGAACATTTATGGAAAGCTGGATTAGTTTCAGATAAAAGAATGAAAATTGATGGAAGTAACATCAATAATGTAAGATATGCAGATAACCATCTTACTGGTAGAAAGCAGCAGTGACTTGAAATGGCATTTAGTGACAACGAAAGAAGAAAGTGCAAAAGGGTTGCAGTTGAATATTAAAAAAACAGGAATAATGACTACATAAAAACTACACAACTTTAATTTTGACAATGAATGAAGAAATTGAAAGAGATTTTGTATGCCTTGGTTCAGTCATCAATACAAATGGAAACTGCAGCCAAGAAATCAGAAGAGAACCGAGACTCAGAAGGGGAACAATGAAGGAATTAGAAAACATCATCAAGTGTAAGGATGTGTCACTGGAGACTAAGGCCAAGATCACACTATCATATTTCTGATCTCACTCTGTATGGGACTGAAAGCTGGACAATTAAGAAAGCTGACAGAAAAAAAATATGATTTGTTTGAAATGTGTTGGAGGAGAGTTTAGCGGATACCCTGGACTGCCAGAAAGACAAACAAATGGGTCCTAGAGCAAATCAAGCTTGAACTATCTCTGGAGGCAGAAATGCTGAAACTGATGCCATCATACTTTGTGTATATCACAAGAAGGCAAGATTCTCTGGAGAGGTCAGCAATGCTGGGAAAGGCTGAAGGCAGCAGGAAAAGAGGAAGATCATATACAAGATTGACTGACTCTCTAAAGGGAGCCAGAGGCTTGAGTTTACAAGAGCTGAACAAGGGCTGTTGAGGACAGGACATTTTGGAGATCACTCATTCATAGGGTCACCAAGTCAGATGTGACTTGATGACAGGAAATAAAAAGAAATATGTTCAGTTGATCCAGTGGGTCTTCTTTAGCTCAGACTAACCATTGGATTTAGGCCTGTTTTTGAAGTCACATCTGTAGAATACACATGCTGTTTAATGATACATACCCTTTTCTAGAAATCTCAGTGAAGATAGTTGGCCCTGTCACATTAACGTGTTATTGAGAGGCATCACATGTGTTGTACTCTGTACTCATTGTGTGCTTATTGTCACCTTAGTCTACAGTCAGTAGGAAAGAGTTTCCCTGAAACAGTGGTCCCCAACCTTTTTCCCACCACAGACTGGTTTAGCGTGGGGGGATGGGGCCGGCCTCCGTGTATGCAGGGGTGGGTGGGTTGTCTGTGTGTCCGTGCGTGCATGGGCATGGTGTGAGTGCATCTGTACGTCCGTGGGCAGGGTGTGCATGCGTCCGTGCGTGTATGGGGGAGTGTACGTGTGTGCATGCCTGCATGTGTAGGGGGCATGAGATCTGTCTCCGCAGCCAGGTCCTGCCAAGGCCATAGCCCGACCAGGGGTTGGGGGCCCCTGCCCTAAAATAATTTGCCCAAAAAGGGCCTTGCCACCTGAATCACCTGCTGTTTCTTTTCTTTGATGTGTGTGGTATACATATCTTTTTCAATTTTTCCAACGGCACTGTTTGACATTAGATATAGCACTTTTTCTTGTCTTGACCAACTGTTAAGGGTCAGGTGGCAATCTTTTGTAAATCAGCTGTCTTGCTGTTGGTCCCTTGAGGTTTTCCACTGCTCTGTTTCCATTGTGCCCCAGACAGAAGAAGAGTCATATTCCCAGTTTTGTTCGTTAAGATGATGATCAGTGGGTTTTCTTACTAGGTTTAGACTGCTTCCTTGTGGCTGCTGTGAGCAGTGCTGTGTCCTAAAATGTTACTGCCATATTAAAAAATTTATAATCTTTTTTGAAGTTTGTACTCTGACACAAGAAGAGGTAGGAAAAGTGCTGGCAAAACATGTAAAGGGATACAGATGGCAGAAGGAACAGTTATTGGACCTGGAATTTGGATATCTTCTTTTAAATACTGAAACAAAACAATCCATCTTTTTGCCTCTGGAGTTTCTGGTCTGTGTGGCGTCTCTTTAGCCCTCTTGTTAAAAATGAAACAGTGCACTAAGCTATGCAGCTGGCAGCTCTGTATAATTTTATGTCTTGCTGGACTGGACTGTTTCAGCATGCAGATGATGGGATGTTGATTTCTGACTGGCCCTTTCTTGCATAAAATAAAAATATATATGTAGGGCGAGTGTTCAGAATGTCAAGCTTCCTACCTGCAGTCTGAAATAGTGCAGTGCAGTGTGAGAAAGACAGCGAGGATGAGGCTTCCCTCGCTGGAGCCCTGTCCATCATAGACCTGAAAAGTAGAATGAAAGAAGAAAGCGTGTTTAGAGCAACCCCAAGGGGGGCGCAGGAGAGGCACACTGAGGAAAGGGAATCCGATACACTGGCGTCAGCCTTGAGGGGGATGGTTATTGGAGAAGGCTAAAGAGTGGGAGACAAGAAGAAGAAGAGAGAGGCCCGGGAGGTGGGGCAAGGGGGCTATAAAAAGAGACGAGCCCTTGCCTCTGGGGTGGGAATCTATATGGATAAAGCAACCCTGGACAGATAGATGGGAGAGAATTGGAGTTCCTCATGAGGAGGCAGATTACAGGAGAAGATCCTCCATTCTGGTTCGCCCTTCTTATGGGGGGGGGGGAAAGAGAGGCTAAGGAGTGACGGAGAAAGCTGAAGGAAGAGAGGGAGAAAGTTGAGGCAGAAAGACTGGAGGACAGGATGGAGGATTCTGGAGATGAGAATGGAGGAGAATAAAAGGGATGGCAAGTACTGGATAAGCCAGTGGATACCTAGAGGGACAAGATTCCCAGAGATGACATGGTGTCCCTGTTGCCGGGTTCGCTGACCCCCACTTTGAAGCATTGGACATATACTGATCTCCCAGGACCCTGGAACACTAGTTATAATGACCTGTTTGTTATGGATGATTGGAAACCCCTGTTGACCATGTTGGCTGAAGGAGATAAGAATTCAGATACCATTAAAGACACTGGTTTATTTGTTAAGAGCACAATAAATGTTTCTTTGTTAGAAAAGCAGTGCGTGTCTAAAGCATTCCTTTTGAATGAGCCAGAGTTGCACCCCCACCCCCACCCCGAACCCTAACATGCAGAAAAAGAGTCTTCAGGTGTGTACACTTATCACAACAGCTCCTTTATGTTTGAGCATGCAGTTAACATTAGAATTTGTCTCTCTGCCACTTGGTAAATCCAGCATCCTTATGATTTACTACAGTGCAGTTATCCTCCACTTGGTCTCCTTCAGAAATCCTAGATTGAGCTTCCATCATCCCTAATCAATATGGCTTGGGGTCAGGAATGCTGAGTTGTGGTCTAAAATACCCGGGCCCCAGATTGCTATTATGGAGTAGATTTTGAAAAGCAGCACAGCTGAGGTGAGACATGGGAATGGGCTCTATCCTGTGTAGATGGAAAATTCCATAGGGCAGGGTAGAGTTAAAAGTCTTATACTATGGTTTTCAATGAACATTCTTGTTTCTAACTTCTTGAACTAGCTGAGGCTGGGTTTGCACAGACTAAGGGTCTTTGACATAGTTCTTACTTAGCACATGCTTATTTGACAAATCAGTCCACATTTTGGAAGATTTCTCCAAGATTGGATTGGGCAGATCACAGATGCAACCACTGAGCTGAGCTGCTCTAATCTTACCTTAACTCCTGCCTTTCTTTTCTCTGTCTCCTCCCCTCCCCACCCTCAGGTGTTCTTCACGCGCAATGGCAAGATTATTGGCAAGAAAGATGCCATGGTGCCCTCTGGGGGCTTTTATCCCACCATTGGGATGCTGAGTAGTGGAGAGAAGGTCAAGGTGGATCTGCACCCCCTGAGCGGCTGAGGATCCATGGGGGCCCAGGGGCTCATCTCTTTCCGTCTGCCATTCCATGGGACTGCCAGATTGTTCGAGCTGTTCTTCATTGCACTTCCAGCCTCTGTCTGTGTGGCAGCATTTTCTCTGTGGGGCCATATAGATATCTGTGTAACACCACATGGGCCACCTTCCTTGTCTGTCCTGCTTGACTGCAGCTACTGTCAGGCTCTTTGTGCTGCTGCTGGGAAAAAAAAATCTCAAGGCTGTTGTTCTGGAGCAGGGTTGGAATTGGGTATTGGGGCAGAGGCCTAACCTCTTCCCTCTCCTCATGGCCTCTCACCTCTGCCTTGTGCACAGCCTTGTGCATGGCTGCATTTCCCAACCTTTGCACCAAAGGCTGAGATATGACCGGGCATAGTCCAATGCTCAAAAGGAGTAGGGCTATCTTTGAGGAGCATCTCCAGTTGCTGGTGGCACAGTGCTGCTGCTCTCTATCATGTATGTGGACAATGTTGCATTCCCATGTCATAAATTGGATGCTTGTTAGCTGCGGGCCAACCCCCCGGAGTCACACCTTTAACCTGTTTCTCTCCCATTCCCTTACAGACAGTGTTGCATTCCTTTGCCACCTTCTCAGGGCCAGCCCTACTATTAGGCAGCAGATGCCAAAGGCAGCTGTGGCAACTTTACTGCTACGGTTCCTTCTGAGCACCTCAGCTGTTTCCCTCTGTTGTAAGACACAGCTAAATCTATCACACAGCCTGTTTCGAGGCTCCTAAACTTTGCTGTTGTCTCAAGTGGTGTGGATTCAGCATCTTGTGTATGGACTGGGGAAAAAGTGCTATCAAAGAAAATGTTTTGAGACAGCCTTGCACTTTCTTATGAACACTCCGCTTTTCCAGCCAAAAGTGTATGGCCCTGTGGCTCCTAGAACTCTCCTAGGAGCTGGCCTTCCTTCGTGGAAGAGGACTCACTACTAGTTTTCAGGATGGTAAGAGACAATGCTATAGAAGCAGGGGGTGGCTTTCTAGGATTCTTATTACCCTATGCCATCTGTGGCAAGCTAAGGTCCAACACCTCTGCCCCCTCCTTCATATCATCTTCACTAAGGACTGAGGTTTGCTAGGAAATTTGTGGAACTCTCAGTCTGCCATTATGTAACCTTTTCATCTGCCTGCTGGGGGGAAAAAGAGTGGTGTTGAGTCTGGAGGCAGGCCTGAGCTCTCTGCCATGTCTATATTTCCAAGAGTTGCGAGAGTGTGTTAATCTCACCCGGTATACACTGAGTGTACTTGCTGCTGAAAGGGTAGGTTCTGGCCTGGCTGCAGTGCTGCTGCATCTCCCTGTACTGTGGTCTTACAAGGTGGGGGTGGATGAGACAGACAATGGGACATGAATTACATCCTGCGGTTTTATTGAGAAGTGTTTACTCTCCAGCCTTCCTTCTCTCCTTCCCTCAGCTTGAGGGCTGGGCCTCAAGTATATGGGCTGGCCCTTGTCTATTCATTCTTTCTGGAGGCTGCTTACCCTCTCTGTCTCCCACTTGCTTTATTGTCACTGTTCTCCTGCCATGCCTTTGAAGTGAACAAGAAAGCCTTGGAACCGGGTAAGAATCTGTCGCAATGCCAACTGTGTAGATGTGGCTGACTGATGGCAAGTGAAGCCAAAGAGTGGTAGCTTCTTTGCTCCTGCAATGGGGAGGATGGAAGGATGGGTCTTGATGCATTATTCTGTTCCTTTTTGCTGGCCCTGTAGACTCAAGGGCAGACTCTTGCTGCTAAAATAAAAATTTTCTGGGAAGCTGAGACTGAAGTGGGTGTTTCGGAAAGCTATTGCACTGGCTTCCTCTGATGATATGGTTGCCTGGCTTTGTTGTAATTGTCCTGTTTTGTAAGTGGGTTGGGGTGGAGAACAAAAGTACTTTCTTGCTTGAATGTTAATACCTTACCCGCAAACCTTCCTTACTCTTAGAAATGTGAGATAATGCCAATCTTTTCAACTTTAACCCTTGCTTCTGTTGCACATTTGATTGGTGGATGCCCCCTGCCCCCTATTTTGCTGAAATTCTAGGAGTCTGCAGAAGAAAGGAAAGGGGAGCCAGTGTCTGAGGGCTAGTGGCAAGCTTATGAAGATCCTCTAGAGTCTTTGGGCTACAGCAGTCTACAGAGGGAGCCAACATAAGAACTGCACTTGGTCCATAGAGATGCCTTGGTGTGAACACAGCCATCTTCTGTCCAGCTCAGGGTGCCTCTGGCTCCTGCTGCATCTCTACAGATAAAATCTTGATACACCTAATAAAGTTGAAATGTCAATATTTATCCAGCATTGGAAAAGGCCTCTGACTTGTTCAATGTGCATCTATTGCTATTTTTTAACCTGTTATCACTCTTATTTGATTAAGTCTTTAGTAGCATTAACATTCTATTTTCTAGCTAGAAATATATACATAGTTCTTTGTCTCTAAACTATTGTCAAAATATTCCATAAATATACATACAATTATGTGATTTTTTTTTAAAAAGACCACATTGTAGTGTATACCCTTTAATGCAGTACTTTTAAAAGAGTAGTATTATAGAGGTACAGTAGTATCTCGGTTTACAAAATCAATGCATCCTCCGGGATGTTATGTCATGCGAAAAATTCATAAACCGGAATGTGAATTGCCATAGCAATGGTGGCAGTGCTGCAAACCTCCAGGTACGGGGAAACTTCCTTCGCAAACTGAAAGAAACTGGAAAAAAAAGTAAAGCAAGGCACTATTTTGAATGGATTTCCATTCATAAACAGGAAATTACGTAAACCGAGGCACTACTATATAGCACTATAATGTTAAACTCCCAATTTAAAGGAACAAAAAATAAAGACCTTTCGAAGTCACTACTATTTTAACCACCTTGCTAAAATGGAATTAATTAGAAAAAATTTGTTCCCTCTGTTTAAAACGTAAAATTTATAATGTCATAAGAATACAGTACAGGATTGCAACATCATGTCATTGAAGTGAGGACTTTTGCCCCTCTATATGTTTTGGACTCCTTTAAATTTCATCTAATGTAGCCTACCAATGTTTCCTACCCCAGTGTTAGGTGGCCTTAAGCATTCTGTCCATGTTAAAACGTTATGTGGAAAGGAGCTGTATTCATCTGACAGGTGATAGAGTCATAGTGCTATAACACTATTTTGTTGATGGGAGTTTGTTACTGGTTGAATATGTACATATTTTATACATTCTAAAAGTTTTTTTACTGTTACCAGATATTTTTTTTTAATGAGTGACAGACAACGTGGGCACATGCAGCAGCAGATTTATGTTGACTGTATGATCTGCTAAGCAACGATAGATTTAGCTATCCAATAGTTATTACTTGCATCACATCCACATCTCTTAAATGTGGAAGAGGAGTGATAAAAGCATTTAGACCTATGGGCTGTGCATTATGCTTTTGCCTCCCCCTACACCCCCCAAAAGAGATGTTTTATTCTAAGACAAGAAAAATAGTCAACACTCATAGTTTATCACATTACATGTTAAAAGGAGCTTATTGTGCGACATGTAACTTCTAATCAGCCATGTTGTTGTTACTGTTGCCTTGAATGTGCAATAAATTTATGGCATTACCTATTATTAACACATTGGCTGACATCCTGTTGCACAGTTACACAAATGCCACAGCTTTTGGAAGCGCACTGCCATAATTTAAAAAAAAAAAAACTCCAAGGATGTTATCTGTTGCAGTCACATGACTTGGTGTGCAACAAATAATGCCTATGGAGATTTCTTAACTTGTAGTAATTTGCTTCTGAAAGTTACACTATTTGTATAATTGTCCAACAGAACTTCAACCATTGTGTTGTTAGCAGTAGGCCAGAAGAATATAGAGAAATACTCTCTGGTGGCCAGTTCTGATACTGTAGCTTGGAAATATGTTTAAAAATTCATGAGATGAAATCAAATCAGACTTCTTTTGTTTCTTCGGGTTGATGAAAGACAGTCATAGAACTTCGAAGATTCCTGTCAAAATGCCTCTTAAAATATCATTTGAAACTAACATTTGAAAGTAACTAGGTGTTATTTATTACATCTAAGTAACACAGATGTTACTGTTTACACCTACAGAATAACTTCATAACATAACGTTCCTTACATGTTTGGGTAGCAACTGCAGAAACATGAGAGAATTGCTTACAAATGAGTGATGACCCTGTGTGTGCAGAATACCTGTAAATTGTGAGTGAAGAAAGCAACAAACTGCTTCCAGAAGCAGCCAGAAACTGGAAGCACTGAACAGCACCTGCACAGGGGATAGAAGGACCACTCTACTGTATACCCTTGAATGTCCTGTCTCTTGGCAAAACTCAGTGGTTAGTTATAATGAAGTCAGTGAGGCACCAAGTGAACTGACATTGATTACTCAAGTGTTTTGGCCCTAATGGAGCAGCTTTAATTGGTTTGATATTTGAAAGGTGCCAGTCTGTCAAAGCAGCCAGATAATGGCCTGCATGTAGAATTCAACCTTAGTGAGTATATCGTGTGTTTTGCTTTGCTTTTGGTCTTCAACTACTAGAAATTTTAGTTTGCAAGAAGAAATCCCGTTGGAAGATTTCTGTATCTCATTAGCCCTGGCTTGCCTGTCTTCCGGCCTTCTGCAAGAATGACAGAGCAACAGCTCAGTAGCCCTAAAAAAGATAGCACTGCATACAGCTTTTAAATAACAAAAAGGCACTTGGATTTTTTTTCTTTCTTTCTTGAGTGTTAACTTTGAATAAACAGAGAAATCGCATTGCCATTTGTACACAAAAAGGAAAAAAAATACAGATACAAAAACACCAAGCTTAGTGCTGCTGCTTTCTCCCCTGCCCTGCCCACCCCCAGTATAGATAATATATTATCAAGACATCTCTGGCTAACATTCACATATAAATTCTTTCATAGACAAAAATAGAACTCTGTACTAAATCAATCCTCCCTTCCCATCAAAAGATTTATGGGCTAAAAGGAGAGCCCCATTTCTGCCTGCTTCCTGCAGTTCTGTTCCACCTCGAGAACCTACATGGTATCTTTGCTGGAAGTGTCTGAAGTCACAGTCCGCCAAGCACAGTTGTGCTGTGCTTTTTGCATTTATTTCTCTGCATCCCACCAGTAAAAATTTGTGCCATAGATTATTCTATGGAGGAGCTGCAGAATTGGTAATGATTGTCAAAGCTATTACTACAGCAGCATATGATTCTGCATTTATTTTTTAAAAAACAAAGTTCTAGTCCTGTTGACCTTGAAAACTGAGTCTGCTTGGTTACAAACACAATTTTAGACTAGAAAAAAGATTATGTAGGGACTTCGTGCTCTTCATTGTACTCTCTAATCCTGTCTGTTAAATATGTATTTTACCTGTGGTAGCCAATGTGAAGCAGAACAGGCCTTCTGTATCTTTTATGGACGTACAAGGAAAAGAATTTAGGGTGAGCAGTAGAAGCAAATGCCATTGAAAATGTAATGTTAGAAGTAAAATAGCTAAAATTCATCTGACATGCTCTGGTTTTAAAACCTGTGTGAGTGTTTGAACAAGTGCATAAGGATAAACCTGAAGTGGGAAAAGGGGTGTTATATTTTTATATGCCCAGATCAATTTATCTCTGGGAACTTAGCTGTATATTGTGTACTATAAAGCATCAACAGAAGCCCAAATGAGAACGGTAACTTTGGCAATGCAGTTCAGAAGGCACTTTCCCTGGGACACTCTTCTTTCCTCCTCCACATCTCTCCCTGACAGAGATCAAAAAAGATTTTGTGACTGGAAGCAGGGGGAGTGTCTTGGGGTAGTATCTCAGTTTGCAGCAGAGAAGTGGCCAGGGGGAAGAAGCATTCAGCAAGCACCTCAACTTCACATCAACCTCCCAAACCTGCTTTAGTCTTTACAGATAGACAAGCACATTGTTCCACCTTGAGCTAAAAGGGTTCCTAGTGGCCTAAGATGAAATTTAGGACCAGTTTTTGAAATTCAGGACCTGATATGACAGCTGTAGTATCACCTTTGTTTGGGAACTCCTTTTAGTTTCAGCTCCATAAATTAGATCCTTATGAAGCACTTTTAAAGGAGATGTAACACTGACAGAAGGGGGGGGAAGCAAACCCAGATGTATCCACACATTCCTAAGTCAGCATTAGTGAACATTCCATGTTCCAGGTTACTAGAAGAAAACCTTCCTGTACTTTTGAACGTGTTCTTGGAGCCATTTTGAATGAAACAGGAAATGCAAAGACTTGCTCTGTGAAGGGGAAGTAAGAGACATTCCCCTTGGTTCAAGCATGGAAACAAGCTAACACAAGTCACTGCAGTCTTATACTTTCTGGATGGAGACAAACTAATAATGCAAGGCAGGGCCAGAGCCAAAAATGTGCTGGGCCTCCTTTTTCTCGTCCTTTCTCTGCTGCCCTCTGTCCTTTTAGCTCTTCCTCTCAGGTTACCAGAAAACAGAGATCGCTCTTGCCACTAATTTGAGCTGCTGGTTCGCAAAGGGCTTTAAAATTAGAAATTCGACTGAGGGCCATAGGGGATCCTGTCAGGTGTGATAACGTTGCCTACAATGTTTTAGGTTTACATTGCTGCCTCTGTTCACAGCAACCTGCACGAGGCCTGGATGAACGAAGAGCGTTATCTCAGAAAATGCCTGTGGTTCTCCATGCCCCCACTCTCTATCCCTTTATCACGTACAATTACCTAATATCACAAGTGCTGCTCCTTTACAGAACGCGGCAGCCAAGGCACCTCCCACTTAGGTTCGGTCAGTGGGGATGTCCCAACATTAAGAGCTTTGGATGCAGCTGCAACCATGTCTCAACCTTTCTACCCAGCGGACTGGAGGCTGAGCAACAGGCCCAGGACAACTTTTATACAATCAGTCTATTTCCATGTAGAAGCCTAAGGTGCCTCTTCCTTCAATCAGATTTGCAACATGAAGTGAAAACTTACATGGGCTAACCTAATAGGCCTGCATTACAAGTCTTTCTCCCCTTGCATTTTCCTTCTCAAAAAGAAGAAGAAAAATAGTTGCCAAATATTTTGGACTACCTACACGTGTATTTTCTCACTGTACTCTGAATACTGTCCCATTTGGATACTATTTACTGTCTAGCTTAAATGTAAAAAATAAGAGAGGTGAGAAACCAGCTCCTGATTTGGTCCAGTCCTCTTTCGCCGCCCCACTCAGTCCATTTGAGCCACAAAGCAGAGCTCATGTATTTGCTCAAGGGTTCTTCCCAGATGATAGCAAGTGGTACTAATCTTACCCCAAGGGTTGGCAAGGAAGAGTGGTGGACAAGTCGGTAAAATTAAGGGGGGGGGGAAGAGGAGGGGAAGCAAGGTCAAAATACGTAAGACTTTAAAGGTAAAGGTTCCCCTTGACATTTAGTCCAGTCGTGTCCGACTCTAGGGTGCGGTGCTCATCCCTGTTTCCAAGCTGTAGAGCCAGCATTTGTCCAAAGACAGTTTTTGTGGTCACATGGCCAGTGAGACTAGACACAGAACGCTGTTACCTTCCCGCCAAGGTGGTACTTATTTATCTACTCATATTTTTACATGCTTTCGAACTGCTAGGTTGGCAGGAGCTGGGACAAGCAACGGGAGCTCACTCCGTTGCATGGATTCAATCTTACGCCTCTGCTAGTCTTCTGATGTTGCAACACAGGCTTCTGCGGTTTAACCCGCAGTGCCACCACATCCAAGCATAGACTTTAAAGATGAACAAATTTGTTTCAGTTTGAGCTCTTGGGGATCAAAATCCACTTCTTCAGACACATTAAAAATGCTTCTCTCGTTGCATTCTCCTCCTCAGGAGGAGGAATGTGCCTGGAAAAAAATGGATTTTTGTCCACGAAAACTCACCCTGAAACAAATCTTTAAAGAGCCACAGTATTTTGTCCCTGTCTTCACCTCCAATTGTTTCCTTTTCATTTGGTTGGGACAGACTAACATGGCTGCTGCTTTGGAAAGTACCGAACAGGGGACGTACAGTTTCTCATGAGAAGGCCAAGGTATTTGTATCCATTGAAGGACCATGATGGGAAGTCAGCTCAAAGTTTCAGAGCCATCGAGTTCAAAACAGGCACGGCCAAGCCCAAAGAACCCTCTTGGCCCATTGCTTCTGAATAGTTTCAAGGACCACGTACAGCCCTCAGGCTAGGCTTGTAGCACAATGAGCAAGTGGATCCATGCAGCAGCAGCCCTCTCCCGAGTTCTCACTCATTGGGTGCTTTATCTGCTACGGCGGGAAGTGTTAGAAGTGTGTAACCTGTGCTTCTAAGGCAGGGTGAAGTGGATGAAGCCTTGGTGTTTTCACTCCTCTATGCTCCTCCTTTTTGCAGTGACTGAAAAGGTGGGATGAGGGAGAGAAGCAGGGAAGGAAATAGGAAACGTCTACAAGTGACTCCATCTAGGCCTGTCCAGTTGCCCCATTACAAGGGATTGTGGGTGATAGAAAGCAGGGGCCAAGAGGAAGAGGAGGAGGTGGTGCCAAGTGGGAGAGACTCCTCCGATCAGTCTTCATCTCCGATGTGCCCCCAGCATAACCTTGGTGATGAAATTGACAATGGCCGATGCAGGTTGCTCGGGGTCTAGCTCAGCAAAGAGGTGGCAGACATTCTCGCAAGGGCTGCCCTGTTTCTTGGCCACAAAGCCAAAGATCCTGGAAGAAAACAGAGTGGACATGGACGTAAGCATGAAAGCTCACACTGAAATACAACACTTGCGTCTTTAAGGTGTTACTACACTTTAGTTTTTTTTGGAGGGTGGTCTGAACAGGGAAGACAACACGTCTCCACTGTGTGAGTGAGTCCACGTGTCTGGAACACCCCAGTTCCCAGCCTGCTTCTCCCCTTCAGCTAACATTGCATTACTCAAGGAAGAAAGAAAGAGATTGGTTTTGCTATCATAAAAAAGAAAAGAAAAGCCATGTCTCAGGACCAAGAATTCTCCTAGATTGATTTTGCTATCATAAAAAAGAAAAGAAAAGAAAAGAAAAGCCATGTCTCAGGACCAAGAATTCTCCCTTTCCTTCCATAGCCGCCTAGAGTGGTCGCAAGACCAGATGGGCGGGGTAGAAATGAAATGAATGAATGAATGAATGAATGAATGAATGAATGAATGGTTATGGCTCTGTATTGCTTCCATTCCTCTTCCTCCACAAGAATACCAATGTGTTGTGCACTTTGGTGCCTGCTACCCATACCTAGGTCCAGGTTGCTGAGGTGAGGTGCACTCTTGGCAGGGACAAAGAGAAGCTTCATCCCATCAATTTATTTTATTTTATTTTATGAACATGGGGATGGACCTTTCAACACAATTTCTTCACTATGTATGTTAACCCTAAAGTAACATAATAACAAGGCCATGTGGATCAATATAACTAAAAGATAGCCATATTAAACACTGGAATCCAAGTTTTTTTTTAAGGCTCTGCTTGGTGGCAGAGGAAAAAGACACTGAAACCCAGCAGAGCCCATGTCAAGCCAGCTTTACCGAGGAGGGTATTCTGTATATTGACTGCCACATTCAAGAAGACCCAGTTAATGCCAATGTGTGCAGTGAAATAAGATCTAAGTCTGAAGACAAATTTAAATGCCAGGCAAGCTCATATAGTAGATTGAAGGTGCTACTTCAACTAGCAGGTCTCCAGTGTTTTGAGATTTCAAAAGTAAGACACCAGCATGTGGGAAATGCCTGGAAACAGATCAGCAACAGTGGAACTGTTTTTGAACAGAGGTTTATGTTCTCTGCAGCTTTCCCCTGTTAACAGTGTAGCTCCAGTTGTATTTTTGAATTATTTGACATTTCTAGACTCTGGTTGTCTAATTTGGGGTAGGCTCAGGAAAGAAAATAATAATACCTGCTTAAACATGCCAAATGTCCTGTTTCTAAGCACAAAGGAAAGGGTGAACATTTTGAATATCTTGCCTCTGGAACAAGCAGGAGGAGAAAAAACTCCAAAGAACATGGAACGCTAGATCTATTAAAGAGGGAACCATGAGGTCTGCTTTTCTTCTTTGGATTTGCACAGAGTTTACATTGTGCCAATTAACACAGACAATAACATAAGCTTCACAGCTCTGCTAAGTTAGAATTATGGAGGAAGTACTGATTGGACCTGCATATCTTAATTGTCTTGTTTTACTGAATAATAAGTCTGACCATGTCAGGGTTTCTCCACCCCTCTGCATTAAGGATGGGATGTGATCACACACCATAGGCTGTCACAATGGCGAGATACTAAAACCAGGGCTGACCTCGTTTCTGATGTGCTAACATCACAACCTTTGCTTTCCCAGTGTACTTACTTGGAGGTGGTGCCGTCTGGGTTAGCCCATCTGGAAGTCAATAAAGAGAACAATGTTATGTGAGAGAAAAGGGGAAAAAAGACACTGATCTTGCCCAGCCCAGCATGATGAATGGATAGGGATGATGGCTGTTGTAGTTCCACATTATCTGAAAACCTTCAGGACCTCCACTGCTGATCAAATTAAAGGATTTTTTTAAAAAAGCCATGATAATGGAATTTAAGACTGTTTAGCTAAACATTATTACATTTTTTAAAAAAAATCAATGAGTGTTTGCAGAGCTCCTTTGCTATCATTTCTCTCTTTGTTTAAAATATACTTTATAAAAATCTGCCTATAAGGCCCCCCCTTTTTTTTTTAAGGGAGCAGTGCAAATTGCCACAAGACTTAATTTTTGTACAGATATCACTGCAAAGAGGGGAAATGGAAGGGGGGCAGATTAAGGTTCTTTCGACTAAATTGTGCATTCCACTTGTATGGAGATGTTGAAATGAACATTAAGTTGGGCTTTTCCACACAGGTCACCTTCATCATCGATATCTATCTATCTATCTATCTATCTATCTATCTATCTATCTATCTATCTATCTATCTATCTATCTATCTATCTATCTATCTATCTATCCATCCATCCATCCATCCATCCATCCATCCATCCATCCATCCATCCATCCATCCATCCATCCATCCATCCATCCATCCATCCATCCATCCATCCATCCATCCATCCATCCATCCATTCATTCATTCATTCATTCATTTAATTTTTATCCCGCACCTTCTAGACAGAGTGGCTTACATCAGCTTCTTTTGTTGCTTCCCAAGAATGCACAGCTTGATTTGATGTTTTCACAGACAGTATCTGTACCTTTCCAGTTGTTTTGTCCCCTACAGAGGGCTGGGTGCTTTCAGTTTCAGCAGAGGATTGCTTTTTAAAAACTTATTTTAAGGGCTAAATTAGATGTCCTTTCTTTCTTGCCTTTCCTTTGCTCCTTCCCTGCACTGCTGAGGCCAAACAGCCAACTCACCCCCCTCTCTCCACATCGTGCAGTGCAACCCGACTGTGGTGCGGGCAGAGAGGGCATGCTGGCTGGCATGAAGGTGAGGCTTGTCTGAAGAAGAAGCGGCTGGCATTGCTTACTGTGGCTGCCACTGGTTTTTCAGCCTTGTGTCCTACCTTCTCCTCATGCCTGCTTGCCTGTTTCCTTTTTGGTTTGTTTTTTTTTTTGGTGTGTGTGTGGGGAAATAGGGTTGGTTTTTATTTATCTCTTAACAACCTGGATGCTAAACCTACTGAGTCCCATGTTTCCCCTAGAAGATTAGATACAAAAGAGGGGATGGAAATTTTCTTTCATCTGGAAGAGTCCATAATTTTTTCATCCTTGTGGGCTTGCACCAGTATAGTCCCAATTCATACCCTACAAACATTCGGTGAGGCTTGTCTGAAGAAGAAGCGGCTGGCATTGCTTACTGTGGCTGCCACTGGTTTTTCAGCCTTGTGTCCTACCTTCTCCTCATGCCTGCTTGCCTGTTTCCTTTTTGGTTTGTTTTTTTTTTTGGTGTGTGTGTGGGGAAATAGGGTTGGTTTTTATTTATCTCTTAACAACCTGGATGCTAAACCTACTGAGTCCCATGTTTCCACCCTAGAAGATTGGATACAAATGGAGAAGAGGGGATGGTGTGTGCTTGTACCAGCTACATTTAGCTCAGATGACTTGTGTGCTTGTACCAGCATAGTCCCAATTCATACCCTACAAACATTCCAAGCCACCTTCCTAATGGAGGAAAAATCCTGCAAGGAGCTTTCAGATGGGAATTGTTATTGATGGGGATCCCAGAAGGGGTTGTATACCTTCATCCTAAAGTCTTTGCAACATACACACATACCATTATTATGCTATATCTCTCTCAATCATTATTGTTGTCATCAACACAGTAAGTGTGTTTTCATGTAATTAATTTAATTGTATTTTATTATGTCTCCTGTGGTATTTTATGGTATTTTGTTTTGCACTTTTATAATTTATTCATGTTGTTATGTTTTGTGATTCTATTGTTGTTACTGTTTAGTTGTAAACCGCCCAAAGTGGCCTTGGCTGCCAGATGGGTGGTATAGAAAACAATCAATCAATCAAACAAACAAAATAAGTACACATACAGAGAGATCAACTAAGCAGAAAACAGAAATGCAGATTCTAACAACGCTCTCTTCTTCCAATCCAAGTAACTTGCTCACATGTCCTTCCAAAAGAGGGCTAGAAAATGTCTGGCCCTCCAGATGTTGTTGGAGAACTGAAACAACCATCATCATTTATTTTATCTACTTATTTATCTGAAATCCTCAACACCCCACCTTTCTCCTCCAGAGGACTCAAGACAGTTAGCACAGTCTAGCCTAGCCAGTGGTGAGGATAAGACCTGCAGTCCAGCAACATTTGGAAGGCCAGATATTTCCTTCCTTGTCCCAGAGACCACACAGAGAAGCCTCTTCCATATGTTCTCCTATAATCTCCAAGGCTACGTTTAGCTCAGATGACTTAACTTCTCATATCAAACGGGCAGTGCACTGCTGGGCAGTTTTAACAGACACTGGGAGAGAGTAAAAGGTGGAGACGAGTCTTCTAAGAGTAGCAAAAGCGACACAAATGCTTGTGCAAAGTCGGGCAAGGTGGGTGGTTACCTGCGGTCCTGAGGGTCTGTGCTGCAGAACGTGACACTGTTGACGGGATAATGACGTCGGAAAAACAGCCTGCAGGAAGAAGAAAAAGAGGAAAGACACCAGGCCTGTAAAAACCAGTGTGAGACTCTCCCATAAGGGACACCCAGGGAGGGGAGAAGGGAAGGGTGGAGCGTATCAAGATGAACCAGGAGATAAGGGTGCCAGAGCCAGAACTGGGAGGTAGAGAGGCTTGGCTCAAGTCATCGTGGGTGCAAAAGAAGAGCCCACGGGCTCCTCTGGGACAGCAAAGAGACTTACTTTCTCTGGCTGTCGGTGAGCGTGATGCCCTGAGCTGACACCTTGAAGTGCACAATGCACGCGGAAGGACGGGGAGGGGTGCTGAGCGTGCTGGTGGTGGCCTTGGCCACAGCCTGCGGGCCCGTCAAGGACTCCGTTTCCACAGAGCTCAGGTAAAGCACACTGCAGGCTATAATGGGGCAGGAGAGAAAGGAGGAGTGACTGAGTGAACCTGGATGACCAAATGCCCCACCTTACTTTCAGCATTCCCAACCCGCCAAGCTGAATTTGCAGCAATATTCAGAGAATCCTTTCCTGTTCATCCAGATTTTATTTCCCTTGCTAAGACTCAATCAGGCCAATAGGTATCTGGGCTGAGGAAAAGCATTTGGAGGAAGGGGGCAGCAGGACATCGGTGGGTGGAGAAGGGCGAAGCGACGCTTTCCTCAAGCCACCCCCTCCTACAAACTGCATCCTCCATCTGCTGCCTTCATAGCTTCTCTATGGCCACGTGAGCTGCCACAGTGATATCTGCTGAAGATACTTCATCATAGCTTCCCAGCTGTATACCTTTGGTGACTGGCGCAACATTCTTGTGGAGAATAAAAAGGAAGCTTTTCACAGGTATGGCAGCAAAGAGAAGCTTCAAAATGAGTTGAACAAGATTTCTAGCCGCTAGCAAGCTGGGATCTGTACTGCACAGCATCTCCTCTTACATAGATGAATTTGGCTTTTCTTTGAATCGGGATTAATCTTGACTCAGAATTTACATTCTGGGCATGTAGTAGAAAGCAGGTAAGATGAATAAACAGTGAAGAAATTAATACTACCACACCTATTCAAAACTAATTCTCTGAACTGTTTCCTGTCTAAAGGACATGTCACTGAGTCTGTCCATGCCTGCTAGCCATACAGGCTTACCCACCTCACCCTCTTGCCTGGTACTTACCTGCTCCCTGCTTTAACAAATCAGCAGCCGTGCTCATGTTAGTGGGAACAGCCGTCTCTGGGGTCACCTCTACAAGGTCTTAAAAAGGGGGAGACAGACAAAGAGAGATAATGTTGGTTGGAGCTTGTGTGAGAGGAAACGCACCTAGCTGGTTTAAAGGTAAAACCATGCTTCTGAGAATGTCATTCTATTTGTAAACAAGGCGCACAGCAAGAGTGCACCTTGTTTTAAAGGAAAATTAAGACTGGATGATTTTGTTTTGCTCTGGCAGGGCTAGCAGAGACCTTACATGGCCAGAAAAATGACAAGCAGCTGTATTTGATGCACATGCTTTGGACCACTGCTATGGAGAAAGCTATTGTTCAAAAAGGTTGATTTCTTTATTCCGAGACATTACTCAAAGTGCCCCACCTTAACCTGCCCCAACACGTTCAGATCCTAGGTTTCTGAAAAGCTTCCTGAAACCCTACCTTTGCTTGGGATGCGGAGACGACAAGGCAAGGAGATGGGGGTAATGGAATGCTGAGACACCAGGGCTGGCAAACTGCCTGCAAAGAAGAGAAGGAAAATAATCATGGGGAAAATATCACACACGTCTGTGTAATTTTCCTTACAATTTCTTCCTTCCAGCCCCTCTGAACAACACAGAAACTTCCTCCTTCTCCTCCTCTATCAAGCCAGGAGAATATGACCTATAGCAGAGCAACAGAGATTCTCCAGAGCTGCCCCTTCAAACCACTCACCCTTTGGGCTACCTATGTGGTCATTCCCAGCCAGGGACAGCTTATGTCAAAGGGGATTGGGGGGATGGGAGTTGTAGTCCAATGTGTTTGGAGGATGCCAGGTTGGGAGAAGCAGCTCCAAAGAGAAGATCCTTGAGCTTCCTGGAGGTGGCACCCACTCTGGGACACAAGCTGTCCTTTTCTTCATCACTGTCATCATCCCCGGTCACTCACCAAAATGGGGCTCATTGTTACAGCCCTTGATCTTCACTCCCTTGGGTCCTGTCTCAATCAGGAAGTGGCGCACCAGTTGCTCAGCGGGATCTCCTGAGAGAGAACAAGCAACACAAATCAGTTACTTATGTGCTGACCCGGGCAAAGATACCAGAAGGCTCTGTGTTTCAAAGGATACCAAGACAGAGAGAAAGAGAGAGAGGGCGTGCATGTGAGTCAGAGAAAGAGAGAGAGAGAAAGAGGGGGGAGTTACGTCTATTGGTTATGGCTACTGGTGGTGGTCAAGTACTGTGTGCGGGTGTGTTACCTTTGGTTGAGTGGTTGATGCTGTTGGGTGGAGGTGTTGCCACTTTCAGCGCTAGTCCATAAGCTCCCTGGAAGGAGTTGCTGTCCCGAATGAGGAAGGTGCCGGGCTCCTTGTCTTTTAGGAGGGCAATAGCTGCTCAGGGAGAGGAGAGTCAAAAGGGTTAGGTAGGCATCTTGTGGATGCTAAAGATGCAGTTCTGCCTTGGCAAGATTTGCTATCATAATACATTATTCTTGGAGCAAGACCCAATACCAACTAGAAGTCGCTAGAATCTAAATCCTTTATAGAGATCCTTTGTAAAGGACAACTTTTATAGAGACCGTGAGCTTCTTTTAAGCATTAGTACCATACACAGAAAAGATGGCACCCCCTTCTTAGCAGAGAGGAGAGTAGGGCCATGTCCTTCAGAGCTGGGCAAATATAAGAATGTGGAAAATCTTATATGCAGGAGGAACAGCATATCACGTGTGGCCCTGTCCTTAGACATTGTGAGGCAGTGGCCTCAAGCAGTAGACGTGGGATTTTTCAAATGACCAAATGATTAGTTATTAAATATTCTTGAAGGTTTTCACAGCTGGGATCTGATGGTTGTTGTCTTAAGAACATGGCCAAACAGCCCAGAAAACCCAGAACAACCAACGATTAGTTATTATATTTATTATTACTATATTTTTCTTCCAGGAAGGGGAAACCAATGTGAGTGTTTCTGCCTGGAGTGCCAAATATCTTGACCCAGCCAGGGTACTCTGCATCAGGAATGGAAGGGAGTGCCATCTGCTGATCTCATTGAGGTAGAAAAATGTCTTGGGACATCTAAGGGAGAAAGAGAGAGAAGAGAGAGGGGGGAAGAGAGAGAGAGAGAGAGAATAAAAGGAATAAAAGCTCTGTTCTGCTTCTTAAAATTTCAGTTGTTTATTTTGAAAATACAGTATTTTAATTATTCAGAGATGGACTGCTCACTTTTAAAGTGCTAATTTAAGTAATGATTAATAGGTCACCATCCGCTACTCAGAAGAGCATGTAGCAACAGTGAAAAAAAGTTCTAATGCTATGAAGGATTATAAGACAGAAGCGTAGCCTTGTTAGAATAAATATCGTATTTGCTACTGGCCTGTCCATCTCTGCATGGCTGATATATCCAGAGGAATGGTACAAGAAAAGGGGGTGACCAGAAGTGATTAAACCATAGTTGACTTTTTAGTTTAAAGAAGCAAAACAGAAGGTAGAAAATAATGCATGATATGGAAGAAATGGTGAGGAAGAAATGTCTCCCCCCCCATCTCCTAACGATAGAAATCAAGGCTACTACTTTCTTCCCATAAAAGTGACCGATGGACTTCACAGGAAGCTTTTATTGTCCCTTCTTCTGCAATATAAGGCAGGTCAGAAGTGGGATGTGTCAGTACCTAGTAAATAGCATCCAAGGATGACTGAAGGCCCCACTGAGCGAACCCTGGGGACAGCAGTATTCCTAACCCAAGCAATACAGGCCCTTCAGTTGATCCATATGAACTGCAGAAACTGCCATGACAGTCTGAGGAGGCAGTCATAGATCTTATCATGAGACCTGGTAGCACAACGACAGTAGCTTCCCCGGTTAAGAGTTCTAGATACTGTATGTCAAAATGGAGCAAAGATAATCATCCTTGAATTAGAACAGGAAGATCTGACAATAGTACTTTTGTAGATGCCTGTGCTGCTAATTTAAAAGTCCTCAAGCTTTAGTTATAGGAGCTGATTATCCCACCCAACATGTGGGAGACCAGCTTGGAAAGCGGCTGTAAGGGTGAAGGAAAGATTGTCCTACAGATGAGGGTTAGAATCTGTTCTCAGTCACCCCAAAGTGCAGGACACATAATAATGGGCTAAAGGTACAAGAAGCTAGATTACAGTTGAATATCAGGAAAAACTTCCTAACTGTTAGAACAGTACGCCAATGGAATCAAGTACCTGAGGAGGTGGTGAGCGCTCTAATACTGGAGGCTTTCAAGAGAAACTTAGACAACCACCTGGCAGATCTGCTTTGAATAGGATTCCTGCACTGAACAGGGGGTTGGGTTGGATAGCCTTATAGGCCCCTTTCAACTCCATTATTCTATGATTCATAGAAACAAGCATGGTTTTCTCAACAGGAATGGTAAAGGCACTCTAAAGGTCAAATTGTTTCAGCCACGTGTGTCTGAACAATCAGAATATAAACTAAGCTGGTGATTAACTCCTGATAACCACTCACAAAACAAAGCAAGTTGATTTGCAAGTTATGGGAGATAAGTCAAACCTGTTAGCTGATCATTACCCAGCTTCTACCACATAAAGAATTGCTGCTTCTTACAGTAAGGTTTATAACGATTAGTTCATGTCTGACACATGGAAATCTGGAGCTAGCACTCTATGAACAGCCCCTAGTTGGGTTTGCTGTGTGATAATAACAAAGAAGGAACCTTCAACAAGGGAGCCTATTGTGACTGGATGCTCCAACTGAGTGTGTCGGCTTGCCACAGAACTCTCTTAGACAGGCACAGACTGACTGTATTCAATTCCAGCAAAATCATGGAAAACCACTTGGGAATGGCGCACCTTGGTCCCGAGATAAATGAGGCTTGTACCAGAACTTGGATGTGTCTTGGACAAACTTGACACTAACTTGGTTCTCCTGCTGTGGTGGGTCTGGAAGGAAGCAACATGGAAGTGAGTTAGCATGCTCTTTCTCTCTCTAAAATAGAGAAGCAAGTGTGCTCAGAATATCAAAAAGGTGGGGCTATTAAGAATAACAACACTGTCTTTTTGCTAGATTTCAGAGGTTTCAGTACGTCTCACAGACATTTCATAATCCATGCCACAATCCCCTAAAACAGACCGTTATTTCGATGGGGAAAGGCCATGGCTTGCTAGAACACATGTGCTCTCTGGTTAAAAGCATCTCAGGTTTGTGAGCCGTGAAAGAATTCTCGGCGGCAGGAGAGCTGCTGAGAACTGTATATAACACCAGACTAGATGATGCCAGACTAGATGTGCAGCTCCACATATGACAGCTTCATATGGTTATTTAAGTTGCAGCTTTTATACTGGCATATTCACATTTATTTAAAATGTATTTATTTATTTAAAATATTTTACCCCACCTTTAACCCTTAAAAATGACCCAAGGCAGCTTACATCATTCAAAGACTATAAAAGCTAACAATGGTGAGTATACAAATACTAAAAAGGATCAGATAAAATACTATGAAAAACTCATAGGTAACACCAAAACACTTTCAACAAAGCAAAGGTACAACAATCCATTAAAAAACCCCATCCAGGCAGATAGTCATTCAGGGAAAGCTTGTCTAAAGCTTTTTGAACACTGAGTTCCTGTTCCTCAAAAAGCAGTCTTCCAACTGGGATCTCAACTTCAGGGCTGTCTGATGTTCTGTACTTTTAAGTCAGAAGGACCAGTTTGGAAAAGGAATCTATCCAGCTTCCCACAGTTCCAGCTTCTTCCAGAAGGGGGGGTTGTATTAGAATGAGTTGAACAGACTTCCAAAGCCAAAGTGGACACATTCAGATATTTAGGCAGGGTCTACATTATCAGATTCTCAGGTGTCTGGAGTACAAGACTGTGCCGTGTTTGATCACACCTGGTTGCCAGGCCACTGTCCTGGCAGAAGGATTTTAAACCCCACATCATAAAATCTCAGTTTGAGCCCTGATGCTTCAAACTAGTTACTCTGATACGATAATGGTTCCTGTTTCCCCTGTAAGAGAATCACTCACTGAGATCAAGGCCTAGATTATCTATTCAGAAAAACCATGTAGTAGAGCCTTCCTCAGGCAGAAACCATTTAGGAAATGAAATGAGGATTATATTATCAGCTTGACCCTCATATCTAGCAAACGAGGAATGATTCTTAGGGTGTGATCGGAAGGAGAAACAGCATGCACTGTGAGCTCCTTGTGGATACTAGGAGGCAGTTAAGGGTGCGATCAATTGGTGAGAAAGGATTATGTCTGATTGCATCGGAAAGGGTCACTTTGCTGGGAGCGATCTCCTTTCAAACTTTCAGGGGGATTGCTCCCAGAAGAGCAACCCTTTCCAAGGTGATCAGAAGTGATCCTTTCTTGCTGTCTGATTGCACTCTTAATAGCTGCCTAGTAGCCTTCTACGTAAGATTTCCACACAAGCCCCTTCCTGATGTATATTGGTCTAGAGATATCCAGAACAGGTGGACAAAAAAACATTACAGGCCACCTTCCAGAGGACCAGAGGACGTACCTAATCCTGGAGGGCTGCCATCAGGGACTCCAGGCGCAAAGGTGACGTGGTGAGCAGAGCCGGGGCTACGGCCAGGCGGGGAGCTCCTCTCCCAGTGCCTGGTGGCCAGGACGTGATGCTTCTCGGGCAGTGGAGGTTGCAGAGGCTCACAGAGCTGCTCCCAGCTGGAGCAGCTGCTCTCGGCCCCGGTGTAGTAGGCTGTTGCGATGGGAAAGGCCGGGGTTGGTGAGCCTTGCATGTCAGCAAAACCATAACCTGGGGCTGGTGACTGGACGCTGATGGCGCAGGGCCCCAGAGAGGGGCTGCTGTTGGGGCAATGAAGAAAGGCGCTCCTATCCGATTCAGGCCTCTCGCTGTGCAAATGCCCATTATAGACCACTGGCATCTGAGGCGAAGCCGGAGCACTGGACACAGTCCTGCAGCCCGGAGGGGGCTGGGCGTGGCAGGAGGAAACGGCTGAGCTGCTCCTCTGAACCGGTCTTTCCACCACCGGCCCTAGCGGACGTTGTAAGGGATCTTCAGCAGGCAACTCACGGGGGGCTGCTGGGGAACGGGGGCTTGAAACATCCGAACCGTTGTGGTGTGCTTGGCCCTCTGACAAGATGCCCTGCTTGGCTGTGGGTGAAGGGGTGGGGTGGGCTGGGCTGGAAGGGCCGTGGGCTCGGGAGTAGGCCTGCGGGATCTGGAGGCCCAGCCTCTGAGCTGTTCCATTAGCTTGCGGCCTGACAGAGGGGAGGTGGGTGAAAGCTTGCATGGGGGACAGAGTCTGTGCGGGACTGCTTGGTGAAGTCCTCTTCTCTGGGCCTCTTTTCCAGCCGGGAGAAGCCAGACCTTCAGGGCTTGAATGGAGCAGGTTTTCAGGAGAGTTGGCTATCTTGTTGCTATGCTCACGAGTTCCTGAGCTGTGAGGCAGCAAAATCACACAGTTAATGACTCTTGACAACACTGTTTAGCAGACAAAGAAGAAGATGCCCCCTGCCCCTGTGACAAAGGACATCCATTGACCTCTGAAGAAAACATACCCAAGTGCAGAAAGCTGCTGTTTGACTTCAGCGCTGTCTTTCTGCCCAATAAGGATTTCCTAGATTAGTGGTTCCCAATCTTCCATTCTCAAATGTTCTTGGACTAAAACTCCCAGAAGCCTTCACCACCAGGTGTGCTGAACAGGACTTCTGGGAGTTATAGTATAAGAACCCAAGGGGACCCAAGAATGGGACACCGCTTGAGGTGGCTCACGGAACCAATCTCTTTTTTAAATAAATGTGACACAAACATTTGTCCTCCTGTTTAGCTGAAGTAAAGGCGGGGCCCACCCAAGGCACGGAACAAATCTGCCAGCATCCCAATTGCACAGGGGGGAGATTGCCAACTGACACCGTGACACCTCTTTTTCAAGCAGAGTCTGCAAATTCCATTTTGCCTTGCCAGCTGTCTGCATTCAAGAGCTCTGAGCATCACACGCGGAGCAGTTTAGGGGTACTCTCTGCTTCCTCCCTTATTCCTAAATTTCATACCATCTTTGCTTGATGAAGAGTTCCACAGAAAAGTTATTACTCAACCCAGAACTTGGCTTATAACCCCTGCTTCCCCTTTCTTCCTCTCATACACATAGGTTTTGCTGAATAGGCAAACAAAATTTATTAGTGCAGCTGGCCAAACATTCCAACTTCTAAAAACGTTTTTCTCCTTGGCTATCTGGAGGTACTTCTGAACTTCTTCAAGCAAATAGCCAACTGAATGCTTGAAAATAAGCATAACCTTAGATTCACTCAACCTCGGTCATCGTAAAAGGCAGACTAAAACAGCTATCAGCAGGTGTGACACTATTTGGAGCGCTGAGCTCAGACTGAGAAAAACCTCTAGGCATATGTTATTGTGTGCTGTCATACTGTTTATATGAGTTATGGTAATCCTATGAGTTACAGGTGTCCAAAAGGACCTATCCTTAACAACACTGTACAAGTCTTGCACCCTAAAAGCCACAGTTTCCTTTACTGAGTTGACCTCCGATTCATCATCAGGATGGGTGGTTCCTCATGAGGTGCCTTTTGGCAATCTTGCTCTGAGCATTCAGTGGGGACCAAACCAACTGGAGGAAAAACATATTGTAATTGTATGGAATAACTCATAGGAAAATGTTAGGATCTCTGGTTCGGTACTCATACTTGGGGGCAGGATTACACTCCCCGCTTCACTCGGAAATATTCACTGAAAGGACAGAAGAATATCATTTAATTAACAGGAAAACTTTCCTGTAATAACCAATACCAGCCCTGCTGGCTCAGTCTGTCAGATGGCCAACCAAATGCATTCAGGTTTCCTTACTGCTACCCTCCAGCAACTGATATCCCGAGGTATACTGCCCCTGAACAGGGAGGTTGTGCATGGCTTAGTAGCTGCTGGCAAAACTACTCCCTAACTCCAGCTGAGGAGCAGCCCAATGAACCTAACAAATGAGAAGGAGGTGTGCTTCAGCAGCTGGCAAAGCTCTTGCATGGAAGTCCTGTACACTGCTAGAATGGGGGCCCTCCAAGGACTCTTCCCAAATAATTTTAGCCCTGAGGCTGAAAACATTCCCCAGTGCTACCATATTTGCCTTTTAAAGCCACTTAGCAAGCTGAGCCTTATGTTACAGCAATTAGAGAAGGTTTTGAAAGCTCTGCTTTAATTGGCTGACTTAGGCTACTTCACTGTTAGCCAGAACAATACAGTCTAGAATACCCAATCTGAGACATACAAACCTGTCTGTGGCGAACACAGGGCTGCTGGTGTGCACGGGCATAGGAGAGCCAGACGCATCTGTGCAAGCCACTCGGACCTCTTGCCGATGCGGCTGCAAAGAGCCAGGAGCATCTTGCCAGGGCACGGCCTCCCTGCAGTCTTGCAGCTCTGGGGGAACAGAAGGGTGGGGAAAATACTTGGGGTTAGTCAAATCACAACCAAGACAGGCTGACCTGCTCATAGAGAACAAGTCCCAGACCCTGGGATCACGTGCAATAGATCTTCACAAGATCGCCTTTAAGCTGAATCTCCTTGAGCTGGATCCCTGTTGCCTAAGGATAGTCTATGCTGCCATCAAGAGAGCAAAAGAGCAGGACCAGAAAGTTGACTCTAGGATGGCATAGATCTTGGGCATGTCTTAGGAAGTGGGGTCCTGCTTAAAGTGGACTTGGACACTATCTTACCCCAAAGCCCTTCTCTGGGTACCCTCTTTATTCAAGCTTCATCCTTTATTACAACACACTCGTCATTTTCAGTAATGGTGCTTCGATTAAAGAATGCCCCAGGTTTTGTTCCTTCAAACCCTGCCCTTTTCTCTTGAATCCATCTGCATAATATGCCACCCACAGGGGTGAAGCATAAATCCCTTGGAGATAGGGCCCTCTGGCTATAGGTGCTAGTCTCTTGCCTGGGACACCTCCTCCTGCTCCCTGGGAAAGGTATACCTCCCTCCATCCCAGTCACTCACCACATGACTTCTCTGTGCTGGCTCCTGGTAGCAGGTATCCGTCACTGTTTTCGGGAGTCTCATAGCCATGCTTCCTGACTGGTGGATACAGTGGACTGGTTGGCGAAACAGAACCAGAGTGGGGAGACCCCGAATACCCTGAGCCATAAGGAGAGATGCAAGGCTTGACTGGGGCTCTGCCGTAGACATAGGATGCGACCGGAGGGTAGGCAGGGCCATAGCGATTGTAAGCAAATGTCTCAGCATTCTCTTCTGCCAGATTTGGCCTCTGGTGGGTTGGGTAACCATGGCCTAAGTGCGCTGCCATCATCTTGGGCTCACAGTTCAAAGTGTGATGTTGCCCATGAGGCACATGGTGGTGCCCATAGGCAGCTGGCATTAGAAGAGGCACAGGCTGTCCCCCCCGGTGGAGGGGATGATGAAGCAGAGACGGCCTTGCATTCTCCACTCCCCATAGATCCGGTTCCCGATCTAGACGTAGGTTGTAGAAAGAAGCCATGGGCAGCCTTGTCTCCTCATGAGCTGCTTTTTGGCAATCTTGACATGGACATAAGAAAGTCGGGGGGTCCTCCAGGATCAGCAGCTCCTCATGCTCCCTCCTCATGGGATTGTGAGGGGGCAGTGATTCATGGCTAAAGGGGTAGGAGTGGGGCTGAATGCCCTCAGAAAAGGAGCGAAACACCCGCCGTTTTTCCTCATAACCTTCAGGATGCGGATGGGTGTGCCCACCATTATAGACTGGCTGTCGCCGTTCCAAAGTCCCATCAGGTCTACAATAGGCCACATTGGGAGGCCGCTCAGGGCTGTGGGAGCGGTAACCGAGGCGACAGGAACAATGGCGGGCCAGGCTTGAACGCTGGGTTTGGTATGAATAAGGAATTCCGGGCTGGCTTATGTCTGAAAGCTCATCTTCCAAGATGGCAGTTTCTCTCTCTTTCATGGAAGAAGGGGAAACATTATGAGAGATACTCCCTTCACTTGGCTGCCGAGGCTGGACACCAAATCCACCCAAGAGCCTGTCCAGTTCTTCCTTCTCAGCAGCCGTAGGCTGTGGCCTGGAAGGCGGCGTGCTATCATCGGCCTTCTCCGTCAGCATGGAGGAGTGCCCTGAGTCACTGCTGATGGACAATAGGCGCCCGCCTTGTTGTGGAGGGGACTCAGGACTGCTGGGGCTGCCATTGGTGGAGGAGCAATTACTCAACTCTCCTTTCTTCTTGATCCTGGCATAAAGACTTCCATCAAGAGGGCCCCGCGTGTGCAATACATCTACAAAAGAAAAAAATGGGGCATTGTTCAAGGTTGGACACTGGGAAGACAGAGCAGCACAGAGCAACTGAAACTCATATGTGTGTTCTGGAATCTCCTCATTGTACAGCTAGTACACCCAAGGGCATATATCTCTGTGGTTGGGATATCAGCAATGAAATGTTTCTTACTCACACCTTATGCTTTAATAGAGGCATGACTAACTTCTAAATTTTTTACAACCATTCTATACTCTAGTCTAGACAGTAGCCTGGGAATCTCCCAAGTATGTCCATGGGATGGGAATCTCCAGCAAACAATGGATCTAAGGGAGGTCCTACTCATTCTCCAATTCAGGTTAAAGGCCTTTGTAAGATCTATGAAGGCCACAAAGAGTGGCTGTCGTTGTTCCCTACATTTCTCCTGCAACTGTCTGAGGGAAAATACCATGTCACTGTGGGATCTATTATATTCCATAATAT